GTTCCAACTTGTAATAAATGTTCTATGTTTCACTCTGAAAATAATATTAAATTTATGAGATTTTAAATAATTTATGAGATTTTAAATCATTAATTTATATTTTTCTTTGCATTTTGTTCAACATTTAAACATTTTACTGGAGGTTAACCGACGACACGCAGCAGTTTGTCTTGTTTTTTCTTCACTTTTATTCCACAGCAGAACAACATGTTTTTATTAAACGTTGTATTTTATAAAAACATGTTTTTATTAAACATTGTATTTTATTTGTGAATTGAGCAACAATAAAAACTTGATTCGGTCCAGATCTCTGGAAGTTTCGGCGCTCCTCTAATCTTTTAACAATGACATTTGGTCTGATCTCTGCCTGACATTTTTACATTCTTGACCTATTTGTGGATAAAATCAGCCGAACGTTTACCCGCTGTAACCTTTGGATTGGGCCTTTCCAGAACCCCCACGCCTGCTGTCAGCCGATGATCCGAGCTCAGCGTGATTATCTCTGGCATATTGATTCGGCTCGTTTAAAGATCGACTCTGACACGAGCAGCCGAAGCAGATGCCGGGCTAAGTGGGTGAATATCATATAGCTGTGGGCTAATGCTCGACCTTATTGCTGCTTAATGAACCGCTGAGAGACGATCAGTGCCATTTGCCCACCTCTCCTGCTTCCAGAACGGATCATAATCACGCCGCTGTCGGGCCCCCGTCAGCACTCAGCACTGCGAGCCGACACTCGGCTTTTACCGGATGGAAGGTCAGAGCGGTTCTGGCTGAAACTTTCCTCCCTGCAAAGCGCCAGCCGTGACTTCAGCTGATGTAATTAAACGAGCAGCGAGGAGCTAAAAAAAAAAACAAGCACTTTTCAGAAGCGCTCGTTTAGCTGGGTGAGATAACGAGGCTGCAGGTTCGGGCACATTCGGCCCTGCGTGGGGCACGAGCGCTAACGGGGCGGGCTAATTGGTTAGCGCGCGCCGCAGATGTACGGAAACGAAGCGACCCGAGGGAGCGGGCTGGAACCGAGGCCTGAACGCTGGACCTGTATGAACAGGCAGCAGTAACCTCTGAGCCCGAGGCTTTATGACGAAGGACAGAACAGGTGCTGCAGCCCGCTCTTCATTTACAGATTCATGACTCGTGACTCTTTAAGACCCGCTCCCCCGGATCGGTTTTATGATGAAACCTTTACAGAGACCATCAGTTCATTAGCTCACGTCCCGCCCTGCCCTTGGAGACGCAGAGCCTTAAAGACTGAACCAAAATAATCTGTAATCCAAACACAAGCTGGCCCCTAACACAATGCAGAGGTGTTAGCTGAAGCTAAAGGTAGCAAAACAACAGCTAAATGTAGCAACAGAGCTAAACAAAGCAAATGTAGAAAACACTTTTCAAAGTGTAAAAGTGGAAAAAACATGAGCTAAAAGCAGCCAAAGCTCAGTTAAGAGTAGGAAAATATCATTAAAATCTTTAGCAAAAGGCTAGCTAAAAGCCTAAATAAAGAAAACTAGATAAAAACAACAAATGGTTTTCTAGAAGCTAAACACAGCAAAATGCTATATAAAATGCTTAAAGCTAAATATATACCTAAAGTCTGTCTACAAGTAGCAAAAGGCTATCTAAATGTACCAAAAACTTACTAAATTAAGCAAAAATGCTAGCCAAATATAGTAAAAAAGCTAGTGAAAAAAGTAGCTTAAAGCCTAAATAAGTATGGTAATACATTAATAGTTAAAAGCAGTAAAATGTTTACTAAAAGCTAAACACAGCAAAATGCTATCTAAAATGCTRAAAGCTAAGCATAGCAAAAGGTTAGCTAAAAGCCAAAAATGCTAGCTAAAATTCTAAATAAGCAATACATTAATAGTTAAAAGCAGTAAAATGTTTACTAAAAGCTAAACAAAGCAAAATGCTATCAAAAATGCTGAAAGCTAAGCATAGCGAAATGCTAACTAAAAGCCAAAAACGCTAGCTGAAATCCTAAATAAGCAATTCATTGATAGGTAAAAGCAGTAAAATGTTTACTAAAAGCTAAACACAGCAAAATGCTATCAAAAATGCTGAAAGCTAAGCATAGCGAAATGCTAACTAAAAGCCAAAAACACTAGCTGAAATCCTAAATAAGCAATTCATTGATAGGTAAAAGCAGTAAAATGTTTACTAAAAGCTAAACACAGCAAAATGCTATCTAAAATGCTAAAAGCTAAATATATACCTAAAGTCTGTCTACAAGTAGCAAAAGGCTATCTAAATGTACCAAAAACTTACTAAATTAAGCAAAATGCTAGCCAAATGGTATTAAAAATACTAGTAAAAAACAAGCTAAAAGCCCAAATAAGTAATGCATTAATAGGTAAAAGCAGTAAAATGTTTGCTAAAATCTAAACACAGCAAAAGACTGTCTAAAATGCTAAAAGCTAAGCCTAGCAAAAAGCTAGCTAAAAGACAAAAATGTTAGGTTAAAGCCAAAATAAGTAATACATTAATAGGTAAAAGCAGAAAAATGTTTACTAAAAGCTAAACACAGCAAAATGCTATCCAAAATGCTAAAAGCTAAGCATAGCAAAARGCTAGCTAAAAGCCTAAAGCAAAACACCACTGAAAATAGTCAAATACAAGCTAAAAAGAGCAAAAGCTTTGCCAAAACCAGCAAAATTTGATCTAAAAGTATCAAACCTCAACTAAATGCCAAAAGTATAAAAGGCTAGCAGAAAATGTTAAAAAAGGCAAAAATGCTAAAAGCTAAATTAKCATAAGCCTAGTCCAATGTAGAGAAAAATTAGCTTGAAGCCAGGGGTAAAAAAACTGCTAGCTAAAATCTTAAATAAACAAAATGTTAAATGTAAACACATAATTAACCCTGATTATAGCAAAAGGCTACAGAAAGGTAGCAGAAGCATTGGCTGCAAAAAAAAGGAGGAAAGAAAATAAAATAAAACTCATGGATGCTGAGTCAGCGTTCACACTACAGCACAAAGAATAAATCCGGTTTGAGATTTCATTTTACTTCTCAGTCTGAACTCTTAACTTGTTAAAGTTTTTGAGTTTGTAACTTCCTGTTTTATTTTGAAATGCAACCTAGTTCTTCCTGTTTGTAGTTTTCCTCACCTGTGGTCAGTCCTCTGATTAAAACACACCTGTCGATCAGCCCGCCCTCTGAAGGTGGCTGGTGAACGGGGCTTTTTTCTGATGTTTTGGCTTCTCTGTTTGGGTCAAACTTTAGATTCTGGACCAGGACCTGGACCAGGACTCTTGTACCAGGACTGGACCAGGACTCTTGAACCAGGACTGGACCAGGACTCTTGAACCAGGACTGGACCAGGACTCTTGAACCAGGACTGGACCAGGACTCTTGAACCAGGACTGGACCAGGACTCTTGAACCAGGACTACAGTGAGTTTGAAGTTTGGGCCATATGATCTGTTTCTGCTTCAGATTAAAGCAGATTTTTCCTGAAGTGTTTCTTCTCTCTGATGTTGTGGTTTGAATGTTAAAATTATGATTTTATTTTTATTCCGACTCTTTTGTAGTAAAATATTCTGCTGTGACAGAACAGAATCCCAGAAGCTGCAGGTTAATTACAGGATCTGACACTTYGGACACTTTGAGTGTTCACTGAGCGTCACTTCCTGTTTCCTTATTTCTATGGTTTTTAGCGTTAGCTGCAGACTCGTGTTTGAGTTTTTATTTCTGTTGAAGCGTTTTGAAAAGCCACTTCTTTGAAAATAGGATCATTTAATTTCTTTTCAGAAGTTTTTGCATTTTAAGAAAACAATCAATTCTATATACTATAAAATAAATAAATATATTTGCCTTTTTTTAAATAAACCAATTCAAACAATACTAATCTATAAATTCAGTTGCCCTGGTTTCTTTAACGGCACCTTAAATTGTTTTGAAACAGTGAGCCATGTTTTAGCTGGTGTTAGCAAAGTGAGTTCACCCTCCTCTTCGTCACGTGACACCTGTCGCACGCTGTCATTGGTGGAGGAGCTTCGTTTGTTTTTTTAAATCACTTCAGTAGAAAAAAGAACTTAATATTAGTTTCTTAATTTCTTCATCATCAGTGATTTTTATTTTTATTTTTTTGGAGGAGCTTTGTTTACAAACAACAGTCCACGGGGTTTCACTTCCTGTCTTTAAGACCCATCAGTTTGATGAGATGAGCCTTATTTTTATACTTTTTTCTGCTGTTTTTACTTTACGTTTTATAAAGTTTTATTTGTTTTTAGGAAACGATGCTTCATACAAAACAGAATTTGAAACTTTTCCTAAAATTTACTGAAAATATCTTGAACATTAATGAAATTATGAGCAAAATAGAAAACAGTGAGATGAAATCATGAAATCATGATCTTGATTTTGACGTAAATAAACATTTATAATTTCTTCACACCTGAAATAATCACGATTTTAATGTTTTTTTTTTAATCCTGTCAGATTTGATGTTGACAAACATTTGAACCAGTAAAAAAAGAAAAATACTCAGTGAATCTAAATCTGAGCTGAACCTTCAGGTTTGTCAGCAGTAGCAGCTGTAGCTGTAGCTGTAGCAGCTGATGAAGACTCCTCAGACCTTCATCCAGCAGCATTTAAACCCTCYACAGATGAAGGGAGTTTTTTTTCGGCTGTGAGCGTGGCGCCTGTAAATTGTTGGTGGGCGAACGTTCTGATGCTGCTCTTTCATTCGGCTCCTTCCCTGCAGCTGAATTTGTCATCTTCGGCTGTTTTTATTGTGAGTGGGTGACACGCAGACATGAGTAACGCTCGCTGCTTAAAGATTCGTTTTGTTTCTTTCTAATTATTTAATCTGACTTTCTGGGTCAATTAAAAGCGATCGGTTCCTTTCAGAAGTCCCGCCCCCTCACCTGAGCCGCCGGCGCCGCACCTGATCAGAGTTTATATTTTAACCTGAATCACCGCAGTTTGTGAAGGTTGGTTTATAAACGAGTTCCTGTTGTCATCTACAGCCTTCAGCTGATGTTTCTTAAAGCAACAGTTCAGATATTTTAAAGTGCAGTTCTGTTCAAACAACCTGGGTTCTGATTGGCTTAGCTGAAACAGCTAAAACTGAGCTGAAAGCTAAGTGTACAAATATGAAATCTAAAAGCAGTTAAACCTAGATAAAAGCTAAAATGAGTARAACACTAGCTAAAAGCTAAAATGAGTAAGCCACTAGCTGAAAGCTAAAATGAGTCAAACCTAGCTAAAAGCTAAAATGAGTCAAACCTAGCTAAAAGCTAAAATGAGTAAACCACTAGCTAAAAGCTAAAATGAGTAAAACACTAGCTTAAAGCTAAAATGAGTAAACAACCAGCTAAAAGCTAAAATGAGTAAACCACTAGCTAAAAGCTAAAATGAGTAAAACACTAGCTAAAAGCTAAAATGAGTAAACCACTAGCTAAATGCTAAAATAAGTCAAACCTAGACAAAAGCTAAAATGAGTAAACCACTAGCTAAAAGCTAAAATGAGTAAAACACTAGCTAAAAGCTAAAATGAGTAAACCACTAGCTAAAAGCTAAAACTGGTCGAACTAGCTAAAAGCTAAAATGAGTTAACCACTAGCTAAAAGCTAAAACTGATCAAATTAATTTGTAATATAGTTAGTCAAACCTAAGCTAAAAGCTAAAATGAGTCAAACCTAGACAAAAGCTAAAATGAGTTAACCACTAGCTAAAAGCTAAAATGAGTAAACCACTAGCTAAAAACTAAAATGAGTCAAACCTAGACAAAAGCTAAAATGAGTAAACCACTAGCTAAAAGCTAAAA